CTTACCCCCACCCTCACCCCCAGCCTCACCCTCACCCTCATCCCCAGCCCAATCTACAGGCACACACTCACCTGGACTCCTCTCCAGTGGCTTCCACCCCAAAGTGCTCACACACAGCCGGCCAAAACTGCTCTCGCCATGTGATGAAATCCTCCTCCAGGCTGGGGAGAGGAGGTAATGAGCCAGGCCACCCAATTGTGGCAATGGGCTGGTTTCCCCAATGGTCTGGACTCCCCAGCACCCCCAAAAGCTCATTTCATGCTGGCCCACCCAGTGATAAAACCCATGGTATCAGGAAGTGTCTACAGTATCTGTCCTAACCGTGGTGGCTTCTATCTGAGCTGGGCAACCAGGAGGATGAGGAAAAGCAAAGAAAGCCTGTCGTGTGGGGCTGGGGGTGGGTGACTCCCTTCCCCTGTGTGTCACGGAGTTCCAGCAGACACCATGGTTTGCACTCCCCTCATGGGCCACAGCCAACCCCTAACCCTGAGGGTTCCTGACATCTGGGGTGGGAGGCTCTGGGGAGGGGTCTGGGGCACTCACTTCCCGTCATCGTCGCCCATCCCCAGCTCAAAGATCCGCTGGGCACCAAGCTGCTCTAGCCGCTTATCCACATACTTGCCCATGGCATTGAAGTGCTCATAGGTCTTGTTCCCAAGGCCAAACACCTGTGTGGACAGAGGGAAGGGTCTGAGGCCCAGCCAGCAGTCAGGGGTGGTTTCCCTCGAGCGCTGGCCAAGCTGCTAGGCAGCACTGTGAGGTGGGCCACCTTTGGCCCTGGAAGTGGCTTTGTTTTGGTGACCTGCAGACGAGGGTCCCCTCCACAGTCAGCCTCTAAGCCTCAACCCTGGGTGGCCAGCAGGGGCAATTCACCCTTCCCCCACCCCCGGGCTCTCCTTGTCCAGCCAAACCTTGGTCATCCCGCCACACCTTTCTTGTCTTTAGTCTCCAGCAACAGATGCCTCCTGGAGCAAAGCAGGACTGGGGACACGGGAGCAGAGGCTCCCTTGTGCTGGAGTCCAGGGTGGAAGAGGGGGTTGTTCCATTGCCCCATCAGCAGCCTTCCCTGAGGCTCCCTGCACAAGCTACCTGCCAGCCTCCCCCGCCCTGTCCTGACACCTTGGCCTGCCCTCCATGATCAGAATAAGGTGAGACCTCTTAGACGTAAGGGTCCAAAGGTCGGGGGCGGTACCACAAGCTGCCACCTGGGAGCCCCAGGGAGCCACTGGAGGAAAGATGGGGTGACTCACCGCATACTTGACTCCAGAGAGGTCCACATCTGTCTCCTGGAGCCAGTCATAGAAGTCCTGAGCATTGTCAGTGGGGTCACCCTCGCCGTAGGTGGCCATACAGAACACTGCCAGGGAGTTCTCTATTTCTGGCAGGCTGCCCAGGTCGGCCTGGAGAGACAAGGGCAGGGCCCAGGCCCAGCAACCATGACTCACCCTGCCTGAGGTCAGGTCTGTACCTGATGGGATGCAGACAAGCGAGTCCAGGGGTCGAGTGGAGGGAGTACACTTACAGAGGAAAGGGTGCTGACAGGCACAAACAGGCTGGATTCCAGGCACCTGATGGCACCAGAAGGTGGTTCCCTGTGTATCAGCCCTGGGCCATCACAGTGAACCTCACTGTCCCTCAAAGTCCCTGGAGCATGGCAGGGCCTAGGCCAGTGATGGCGAACCTTTTGAGCTCGGTGTGTCAGCATTTTGAAAAACCCTAACTTAACTCTGGTGCCGTGTCACATATAGAAATTTTTTGATATTTGCAGCCATAGTAAAACAAAGACTTATATTTTTGATATTTATTTTATATATTTAATGCCATTTAACAAAGAAAAATCAACCAAAAAATGAGTTCGTGTGTCACCTCTGACACGCGTGTCATAGGTTCGCCATCACTGGTAGGCTCTCACTAATTCCTAGCCAACTGTTCTCTGACTCCAAACCCAGGTCTAGAGATAGAAAGATAGATGCCTATCCCTAGATCAAAGGCAGCATGGCGAGGGTGGAGGGCGGTTTGGTTTGGGAGATGGAGTGGCAGGAGCAGGAAGCAGCTGGCACTCAGGAGTGGTTCTGAGGGAAAGAACATTTGTTGTGCTGTTGGAGCTGCAGGAGCAGCCGGGCCATGAATAGCAATGACCCCACCAGGGGAGAAGCCAGAAGGCAACTCCTGGAGGATTCTCCTCAGGACCAGCGGCTCACTGTCAGCCTGCTTCCCTCCTGGGTACCTAAGGCTTGGCTTCCCCTCCCCTGTCCACTGCTTCCACCTGGGGCAGGTGGCTTGGCTGTCATTGGCTCTCCTGACCCAGAAACAGGCAAGCGGGCTGCTGGAAGTTTCTTGCACTTTGAAGAGCTGCACCCATGCGAGGGGCAGAACAAGGACAAAGGAGCCACTCCAGGAGGAGAAGAGCAAGGCAAGCCTCCCCCACAGCCCTCAGAGACAGGCTGCAGACAGACTGGGCAGCTGAGGCCCAAGTCAGGGCTGAGTTCTGCAGACAGTACTGTGGTCCCAAAGGAGTGACAGGAGGAAGGGGGATGTGGGGGGGGGGGAGACCAGGCAGCTCCAAACAGGGCCTTTCCCAGTTTTCAGGTTCTCCTGGTCCCTCTCCAAGCTGCACTCTTCCCTCGGGCCCTGTCCCTGCTCCTGCTCTGGCCCAAACACAGGAGTTTATGGCCTCATTTCAAAGCCCAGCAGAAAGGTTCCCAGAGACCGCTAACATTCCTCATCTGTAGATGAGGCAAGGAAGGCCCACAGGGGCAGGGGCTTGCCCAGGGGATTAGAGCCCAGATTCCCCCTCCATCAGTTCCCTTGCCACTGCAGTTTTGGGGGGAGGGTGGGGTGTTCAGATGGAGAATTCCTCTCCTAACTGGCTTTCATTTTTAAATGGGCTTTCATCATCTGTACATTGTATTTTGTGTTCACAAGTCTCCTTCCATCACCATTTATCCTCCCTGTACTCTCTTATACCTCCCCCACCCTCCTCAGGTGTTCTTAATGTCCTTAAAACTAGGGCCACCTGGCTGTTAGTACAAATGATAGGAGACATCCATTCCTGTCCGTCCCTTTGGCCAACTCAACCCTTTAAGCACCTCCATGACCCAGAGATGCTGTCCTGAAATCAATGCTGCTGGCAGAGGTGGGAGGAAGGGCCACGGCGTGGTGAGAGCTCACCAAGTCATACTCCTCGGGGTCTGCTGACATGCCCCGCATGCCGTAGCGGTGGGCGTCCTTGGACAAGCGGTTGGCAAACTCCTCGGCAGTCCCCGTCTGGGAGCCATAGAACACGATGACGTTCCTGCCCTGGGGAAGGCCAGATACTCAGGGTCAGTGAAGGGCCAAGCAGCAAAGGCTTCACCAGACTCCAGGTGACCACAGGGGCAGGCCAGGCAGGTGGGGCACCTCAAGGACACCCTCCTTCCTTGCTGCTTCCAGTCCTTTCTAAGTCATTCTGGGGCTAGGATCTCACGGCCACAGCTCCCAGGTGGATGAGGGCAAAGGCCACCCAGATGATGCCAGTCATCAAGGTAATCTCACACAGCTACTCAAGATCACACTTTGGACAGATTTTTAAATGACATGCAGAAAAACACAACATGCTGTTTAATAAAAAAGGATGACTAAACTATGTATAGTATAATCCAATTTTGTTATATATCCACACCCGTGTGTGTGTGTGTGTATATATATGTATATATTTTGTTTATATACATACATACACAAAAGAAAAAGACTGGCAAGAAATATACCAAGAGTCTCTAAATGGGGGATAAGGGTGGGTTTTCTGGATGAATATAAAGATAACATACTTAGGAAAATGTAGACAATAGGGAAAAGTACCATATGGACTGGGTCACACACTCATCCCACCCTCCTGCTGTGCCTTCTACAGCAGCTACTGAAAAAGCCCCAGCTCTATCCCCAGATTTCCTGCAGCCAGGGATGCAGCACATTAGGCGCAGCCAACTGGATGGGCTCCTTGAGACCTGGAAGGTGGAAGTGAGGCACAGGCCCCCTTCTGGTCCCCTACGGAGACATGAGGTTTCTCTGCGGTGGTCTCCAGAGCCCAAGCCCCACAGTGGTCTCTGGTTTTTGCACCGACCCCCAACTGATACAGGTACAAAGGACAAAATAAAAATATGGGTTACAATTGGTTTAAAGTGTTCTCATTCCTTTTACATTTCCTGAATTTTCTACAAATTATCTAAAAAGGTATTTTAAAATAATCACTACAAAAACTCCTGAATAAAGGAGAACATGCTTCTGATATCAGGTTAAGGGAACCAAACCGAATATAAAATAGTAGCTAAATATTTATGATGGCATCAAAACATATAAAGTGCCTAGAAGTAAACCTTGTAAGATTCCAGGCAGTGGCAGCAAAGGGACCTAGCAGTCATTGCACTCTGCACTCGCCCGCAATTGCAGAAAAGAAATGTTAGTTTCACTTAAGAATGACTTTAATGAAACAGTAAGAATTACTAATTGTATTAAGTCTCAACCTTTGAGTGCATGTAATTTTATTTTTTAATATTTTTATTGATTTTAGAGAGGAAGGGAGAGGGAGAGATAGAAACATCAATGATGAGAGAGAATCATTGATTGGCTGTCTCCTGTACGACCCACATTGGGGATCAAGCCCATGACCTGAGCATAGGAATCAAACCATGACCTCCTGGTTCATAGGTCGACACTCAATCACTGAGCCACACTGGCTAGGCAGGTATGAGTTTTTTTGGGGGGATGATGAAAATGTTCTAAAACTGAATGTGGTGATGGTTTGCACAACTCTGTGAATATACTAAAAACACACTAAAATACTTTAAATGGGTGAACTATATGGAATGTGAATTATATCGCAATAAAACTGTTACCCAAAAGAAATAAATACATCGGAAATAAGAGCCAGGAAAACTGAAAAACAGAAGTGATGGGAAGGGACGGAGAAGTGCCTGGCACTACCAGATATTAAAACAAGTATAAAACTTCAATAATTAAAATGGTCTGGCAGTGTACATACTCAGACAGCTAGATCAAAGTATAAGAATAGGAAAATACAGAAACAGACCCAAAAACCCATGGGAATAATGTGTATGATAAAACCAATGGAGAAATGACAGACTCTATTATAAGGAATTTCGACTGTGTAAAAAAACCCAGTAGCGGTAGCTGGTGTGGCTCAGTTGGTTGAGTGTCATCCTATGCATGGAAAGGTTACTGGTTTGATTCCTCATCAGGGCATATGCCTGGGTTGCAGGTTCGATCTCTGGCCAGGGTGTGTGCAGGAGGCAACCGATCAAGTTTCTCTCTCACACATTGATGTTTCTCTCTCTCTCTCGCTCTCCCTTTCCTTTCCTTTCCCACTCCCTTCTTCTCTCTCTCAAATCAATTTAAAAATATATTAGAAGAAAAACAGTAGTATTGGATCCATACTTTACATCTTGTGCCAGGATAAAGTCCCAGCGGACTGAATTTTAAATATGAAAAATGAAATCATAAAAGTACTAGAAGAAAACATGAAAGATTTCCTTTATCTCTTTAGAGTGAGGAAGGCCTTTCAAATGATGACTCAAAGTCCATAAGTCATAGAAATAAGAATAAAGTGGACTTTGTAACTTTTACACACACACACACACACACACAATAAATCAAGTCAAAGCAAACTATTAATTGGGAAAAACATTTTTACTCATATCACAGACAAGGGGTAAATCTCCATAAGAATTTTAAGCAGTTCCTCAAAAAAGATCAATTACACCAGAAAAATGGACAAAATATTTGAACGGATAATCTATAAAAACAGGAAAAAAATGAATGCCACTGTAACATGAAAATCTGCTTAACCTCATTCATAAGAAAAATGCAAGTTAGAACTACACAGTTCTCTAGGTTGTTTTAAACCTAGAGAACTGGCAAAACCCTAAACTTTGATAACAAACTGATGGCAAAGCTGTGAGGAACAGGTTTTCTCACACATTGCTAATGAGAGTGCCCTAGTGTGACCTTTATGTGGGGCATTTTGGCAGCTTCCATCACAATTACAAATGAATATACTTTTGATTCAATAATTCCACTTCTGGGATTTTATTGCATTTGCAAATATGCAAATTGATCTACATAGTCACAGCAGCATTGTTTGTAAGACCTTAAGATTAGAAATATTCCAGTGTCCATCAACAGGATATTGTTTAAAGAAATAAGAGTATGGTCATATAATGGAATCATGCAGCTACAATAAAGAATGAGGAAGGTGTGAGGGAGAACCAAGATGGTGGCATAGGTAAACACCTGAAATTGCTGCCTCGCACAACCACTTCAAAAATACAACTAAAAGACAAAACGGACATCATCCAGAACCACAGGAAGGCTGGCTGAGTGGAAATTCTACAACTAAAAGGAAGGAGAAAAGCACACTGAGACTCAGAGGAGGTGCGGAAGTAAAGTGCAGAGGTAAGGAGGCGCATGTGGAAAGGGCTGGCAACTGAGGACGCGGTTGTCTTTTTCAATCAGGAGGGAGACACAAGCTCCCGACGGCTCTGAACTCCAGTTCTGGGCGAGTCTCTGGGGACCCAGACTCATACGGGGAGAAACTGGACTGTCTGGCAGTGGGTGGAACTCGAGGGCGACTTTCTCTCAGAGGTGCTTGCAGCGATTATCGCAGGACACTGAGACCTGGGGCCTCTTAGGGTAGGACTGAGGATCAGCCATAGCTGTTTGCTCTGCCCTGTTGATTCCCTGAGACTCTGCCCCACCCAAGCTGTGCGCAGAGGCTTTTGCATATGAATGGCCTGGCCCTTTGCAATCTAAAATTACCTAACAAACTGCAGCTGGGTCACAGAGTCCCAGAACATCCAAAAGAAGGCCCAAGGCCCCACAGTGCTTGCATTGCTTCACAGCTGGGCTTCATCTGGGCACCTCCAAACCCCAAACAAAGAAGAGGAATCTGCAGATCTCTCCATAGCTCCTGCTGGGTAGCCTCAGGCAGAGGCTAAATTAGCACCTCCTTAGATCCAAGAGCCAGTGTTCCCAGTGGTCAGAGTGGGACCATCCAGATTACAACTCCTCAGATCCATAAGGGACAGACTCAGGAGGCAGACTCAGTGAGCACCAAAGCCCCACTGAAGCAAGTCTTGCCCCATAAGGGTGTCTCCAGCACAGAAGTTCTCCCACTGTAGACACAGCTGATTCTCACAGCCAATTGGCCGGGAGGTCAATTCCTCCCAGTGATACCTACAACAATCAAGGCATAACTACAAGAAGACTGTGCACAAAGCCCACAAAGGGGTGCACCAAGAGCGTCTACCTCAGGTAATTGGGGAGGCTGAGCCACTGGGCCCTATAGGCCACCTAGCACAGAAAGCCACTCTATCAACACAGGGAAGCAAAATGTGGAGACAAAGAAACAGGTCACAAATGACAGAAATGGAGGAAAGCAAACTACTGGATATAGAGTTCAAAACCATGGTTATAAGGTTACTCAAGAATCTTCTAGAAACTGCCGATAAATTTAGTGAGACCCTCCATAAATCTAGTGAGACCCTCAAAGATATGAAAAAGGACCAACTAGAAATTAAGCATACACTGACTGAAATAAAGAATATTATACAGAGATTCAACAGCAGACTAGAGGATCGCAAGAATCAAGTCAAAGATTTGAAATACGAAGAAGCAAAAAACACCCAACCGGAAAAACAAAAAGAAAAAAGAATCCAAAAATATGAAGATAGTGTAAGGAGCTCTGGGACAACTGCAAGCATACCAAGATCCGAATTATGGGAGTGCCAGAAGAAGAGAGAGGGCAAGATATTGAAAACCTATTTGAAGAAATAATGACAGAAAACTTCCCCTACCTGGTGAAAGAAATAGACTTACAAGTCCAGGAAGCGCAGAGAACTCCAAACAAAAGGACTCCAAAGAGGACCACACCAAGACACATCATAATTAAAATGCCAAGGGCTAAGGACAAAGAGAGAATCTTAAAAGCAGCAAGAGAAAAAAAGTCAGTTACCTACAAAGGAGTACCCATACGACTGTCAGCTGATTTCTCAATAGAAACTTTGCAGGCCAGAAGGGAGTGGCAAGAAATATTCAAAGTGATGAATACCAAGAACTTACAACCAAGATTACTTTACCCAGCAAAGCTATCATTCAGAATTGAAGGTCAGATAAAGAGCTTCACAGATAAGGAAAAGCTAAAGGAGTTCATCACCACCAAACCAGTATTATATGAAATGCTGAAAGGTATCCTTTAAGAAGAGGAAGGAGAAGAAAAAGGTAAAGATGAAAATTATGAACAACAAATACATATCTATCAACAAGTGAATCTAAAAAATCAAGTGAATAAATAATCTGATGAACAGAATAAACTGGTGAATATAATAGAATCAGGGGCATAGAAAGGGAGTGGACCGACAATTCTCGGGGGAAAGGGGTATCGGGGGTGAGGGAAGAGACTGGACAAAAATCGTACACCTATGGATGAGGACAGTGGGGGGGTTAAGAGCAGAGGGTGGGGTAGGAACCGGATGGAGGGGAGCTATGGGGGGGAAAAAGAGGAACAACTGTAATAATCTGATCAATAAAGATTTAATTAAAAGAAAAAAAGAATGAGGAAGGTGTGTTTGTATTGCTATGGAAGGATCTCCAAGATATATCCTTAAGTTAACAGTCTATAACAGCGGTTCTCAACCTGTGGGTCACAATCCCTTTGGGGGTCGAACGACCCTTTCACAGGGGTCGCCTAAGACCATCAGAAAACACATATATAATTACATATTGTTTTTGTGATTAATCACTATGTTTTAATTATGTTCAATTTGTAACAATGAAAATACATCCTGCATATCAGATATTTACATTACGATTCATAACAGTAGCAAAATTACAGTTATGAAGTAGCAACAAAAATAATTTTATGGTTGGGGGTCACCACAACATGAGGAACTGTATTAAAGGGTCACGGCATTAGGAAGGTTGAGAACCACTGGTTTATAACAATGTATATACTATGACACTTTTTTGTTTTAAGAAAGTGTAATGTAAAATAAGAATCTCTGTTTTTTGTCTGTGCACAAAGAAGCTCTAGAAGGATCCATAAAATACTAAGAACAATGATGATGAGTGGCAGGGACCAGAGAGAGAGTTTCCACTGAATTGTTTGTTTTGGATTTTAACCATGTGATTGCCATACCTTTCCATTCAATTAAAAATTTAGATAAATAGCATGGCTGGTGTGGCTTAGTGGTTGAGTGTTGACCTATGAACCAGGAGGTCATGGTTCGATTCAGGTCAGGGCACATGTCTGGGTTGCAGACTCCATCCCCAGTAGGGGGCATGCAGGAGGCAGCCAATTAATGATTCTCTCACATCATTGAAGTTTCAATCTCCCTCTCTCTTCCTCTCTGAATCAATAAAAATATAACTTTAAAAAAAAATTTAGATAAATGAAAACAAAGATAAAATTGTACCTGTGCCGTGACCACAGCTATGTGAGGTTTATATCTGCTCATGGTCAGAGCCTGGACTGGGAGGGAGGAGACAGCACAGCATCCTGAGTTGGAGGGACCGTTTGTTCTTACAGTTGTTCAAGAAATAAACAAAGTAAACAAATTAAATGGTCCCAGTAAAAGCAGAACAGCTTTGGGGTTTTTGGGTAAGAAGATACTCGTAAGAGAGTTGGGCCTGGGTTTCCACCACTCTCTCCGGTCCAGTGCAGCTGGCCTCCTGTTGAACTCCCCTAAGCATCTGCCAGGGCCAAGACTTGTTGGCAAGGGCACCAACACAGAGAGCAAACTCACCGTCTTCTTCATCTTTTCCACGAAGCTGCTGTCTTTGACAGAGGAGGTCCTGAAAAACAAGTGTCAGATAAGTAGGGGATCCCATGTGGCAGCATCGGGAAGCACTGTCAGTGAGCATGCCGGCAGCCGCCTCTGGCCCAGTGCAGGGCTTCCAGGCCTCCTCCATATTCCCTGACAGTAAATCCAACACCTGGCAGAGCCAGGAGCCCCTGCCCCAGACAGATGAGAACAAAGAACAGTCAAGGACCTCACTTCCCCATCCCTCAGCATCCACAGCCAATGATCCCCACGGCCTTTTCTCACCTCCAATCCCTACCTCACACAACACCCAGGAGTCTTCTGATTATGGGTTTTACTGTTCTGCTGCCTGCTTCACTCTCAAACCTGCAATGGCTCCCATGACCCATAGGATAGGGTACACAAGTCCCTCCAGAATCTCTTCCCTGCCTTGCCTGATTCTCCCCTCCACACACCATCTCTCCCTGATAGCCCTCTGAATTCTGCCAAGTCATCACCTCCACTCAGAGCATCTTCATTACACTTCTTCACCAATAGATCCCCGCTCTACCTCAAGGCCCTGCCTAAGTACCAACTCCCCTGTCATCCTGAAGCCCTGAACTAGGCCCTGTCCCCTCAAAGAGCAGCATTACCGCTGGGTACATCACAGCCTCAGGATCCTCTGCCCACTCTCTACCTCCTGGCTGCCAGTCTCCTGCCCCCTCCCTGTTTCCTGTCCTTTTTCTTCTCTCTTTCCTGCCCCTTAGGCCTGCAGGGCCACCTAAAAAAGTCAAGTGGGCCTCTCTAGGGACTTTTAGGCCTAAGGTGGGAAAAACAGAAGCTATTTGAAAAATACGAATATCTGACAAAGGACTTGGGTTGAGATATAAGAAATTCCTATAGAAGACATAAAAAGATGGAAGAACATACCATGTTCTTGGATTGGTAGAATCAACATCATTAAAATGTCCATACTACCCAAAGCAATCTATAAATTCAACGCACTTCCCATTAAAATACCAATGGCCTTCTTCAAAGATCTAGAACGAACTCTCCAAAAATTCACCTGGAATAAAAAAAGACCCCGAATAGCTGCAGCGATCCTGAGAAAGAACAAAGTAGGTGGGATCTCAATGCCAGATATAAAGCTGTATTACAAAGCCACTGTTCTCAAAACTGCCTGGTACTGGCACAAGAACAGACATATAGACCAGTGGAATAGAATAGAGAGTCCAGAAATTAGCCCGAACCAATATGCTCAATTAATTTTTGACAAAGGAGGCATGAACATACAATGGAGCCAAGATAGTCTCTTCAATAAATGGTGTTGGGAAAATTGGACAGATATATGCAAGAAAATGAAACTAGACCACCAACTTACACCATACACAAGAATAAACTCAAAATGGATAAAGGACTTAAATGTACGACAGGAAACCATAAAAATTCTAGAAGAATACAAAGGCAACAAAATCTCAGACTTATGCCAAAACAATTTCTTCACTGATACAGCTCCTAGGGCAGTTGAAACTAAAGAGAAACTGAACAAATGGGACTACATCAAAATAAAAAGCTTCTGCACAGCAAAAGAAACCATCAACAAAACAACAAGAAAACCCACCTCTTGGGAAAACATATTTGCCAACGTCATATCTGATAAGGGCTTAATCTCCAAAATTTATAGGGAACTCATACAACTTAACAAAAAGAAGATAAACAATCCAATCAAAAATGGGCAAAGGATCTAAATAGACACCTTTCAAAAGAGACATTCAGAAAGCCAAGAGACATATGAAAACATGCTCAAAGTCACTAATCATCCGAGAGATGCAAATCAAAACAACAATGAGGTACCATCTCACACCTGTCAGAATGGCCATCATCAACAAATCAACAAACGACAAGTGCTGGAGAGGATGTGGAGAAAAAGGAACACTTGTGCACTGCTGGTGGGAATGCAGACTGGTGCAGCCACTATGGAAGACAGTATGGAGTTTCCTCAAAAAATTGGAAATGGAACTCCCATTTGACCCTGTGATCCCACTTCTAGGAATATATCCCAAGAAACCAGAAACACCAATCAGAAAGGATATATGCACCCCTATGTTCATAGCAGCACAATACACCATAGCTAAGATCTGGAAACAGCCTAAGTGCCCATCAGTAGATGAATGGATTAGAAAACTGTGGTACATCTACACGATGGAATACTATGCTGCTGTAAAAAAGAAGGAACTCTTACCATTTGCAACAGCATGGATGGAACTGGATAGCATTATGCTAAGTGAAACAAGCCAGTCAATGAAGGAAAAATACCACATGATCTCACTCATTCATGGATAATAAAGACCATTACAAACTTTTGAACAATAATAGATACAGAGGCAGAGCTGCCTCAAACTGATTGTCAAACTGCAGTGGGAAGGCCAGGGAGGGTTGGGGGACAGGAGGGAGGGGAGTAAGAGATCAACCGAAGGACTTGTATGCATCCATATAAGCATAACTAATGGACATAAGACACTGGGAGGTAAGGGAGGGCAGGGGTTTGTCAAGGGCGGGGGGAAAAAAAGGACACTTATGTAATACCCTTTGTAATACTTTTAGCGAAAAAAAAAAAAAAAAGAAATTCCTATAAATCAATCAGAAAAAAATACATAACCCAACAGAAAAATTGTCAGAAGGCTTAACAGGAACTTTCTTAAAGAGAGTACCTAAACGGCCAAAAACTCATGGAAAGGTGCCCAACATTCATGTCCAGGTCAAGTGGTGGAGCAACTAGAATTCCCACACACTTTCAGGGGAGGGCAATATGGCACAGCTCCTTTGTTAGGCTGTTTGGCAGTATCTCCTATAACCAGAAATTCACTCTTCAGTATACACCTATTAGAGTGCATTTGTACCGATGCACCAAGAGGAGTACCAGGAATGTTCCTGGCAGCATTAGACATGCGAATCCCCATAGGGAAAAACCCTATTGTCCATCAGCATAATAAACCAACTGTGGTGTACTCACACAATGGAACATTCTCCACTTCAACAACAAAACAGATGATCACTACACAAACATGAATGAATCTCATAAACATGATGTTGAGTGAAATAAGCCAGATAGAAAAGAGTATACATCTATGATTTCCCGATATAAAGTCTCCAAACAGACAAAACTAATATGTGAGGACTGCTGGCAGGAGACGGCAGGGGGCCTCCCGGGGTGCTGGTAATAATCTGCTCTTTGATCGGAGGTGATTACCACGTATTCACATGGCGAGAATCACCAATCTATACGTACCTTTCTGCAGATATTATACGTCAATAAAAAGTTTATATTTATTCTTGGGCAGGCATGGGAGGCAACGAGGTGGAGGAGCCAGCCAACTAGCAGCTGAGTGAACTTGAACCAGAATTAATTGTTCTTCAATTAAAAAAAGGGGATAACAAAACACTTCAAAGGTTTCTGCAAAAATCAAATAAAGAAAAAGTATATAAAGAGGAGCATCCAGCATGAGGCAGGCTCCATGGCTATCACTGGGGAGTTCCAGGCACTCGCCTGGCCACCGTCCCTGCCACACCACAGTCAACAGCAGAGTCTCTGGGCAGCCAGAGGGCACCACCACGCTCCTGCACAAAAGCTGTGGTACAGAGTGACGATGGGTGTGTGCGGGTGTTGAGTATTCCCAGTTTTTCAGAAGTTAGCTGATGGCTGGCCTCCACGCTAATGCCATTTACTTACTTAACAAATCTTTTGAATAAATAGCCAAGATTATTCCAAGTTCCACTTCAGACAAGTCCAGCCAAGCCGCTGTGTTTTTAATAAAACATGGATGGATCATGAATGGGATCAAGCAGGGCAGAAAGGGACTGGATGGGGTATGAAGGGGCTCCAAAGTGGGCTGTGTCTCAGGTTGGATGAACTGGGGATCAGAAGTGAGACAGGGCTGGCCTCGGGGAGGGCGCAGAGCCTCCACCTTCCCTCTTCCCTGTAAGGCCTTCTGAGCTGACTA